GGACTGGCCAGCGGCGGAGTGGCTCTCTTGGGATGGGGTTGAGGGGAGGGAGGGAGAGAGAGAGAGAAATGTCCCCTCAGCTTGAGCCAGCCTCGCCTCCTTGCAGAGGCAGGGATTTCACTCGAGGTTCAGTTGTTTCGTAAAGAAAAGGTGCCCTGGTTTTTTGGGGGGGGAATCGAGGTTGCTGGAAAGTTATGGGGCAGGAGCAGAAAACTCTGACCCTTGCGATGACTGAAGCGGCGATGAAACGACACTCCGGAGGTGCTCAGAGGCAATTGCTATCTTAGCGCCAGGAAGGCTGTTTCCTCCGAGTGGTGCTTACGTCTTCCTCAAGGTAGAGGTTTTATAGAGAGAGAATACCTGATAACAGTTGTTGTAGGGAAACCTCAGGATATATTGTTGCATCTTCCCCCCCCTCCATCTTCAAAACAGTCCAGTGAAGTACAGTAGTAGGTGAGGCTAAGAAAGAGTGATTAGCCCCGGGTTACCAGTGAGTGTCAGGGGAGATTTGAACCCAACTCTCCCAAGGCCTGGTCCAACAGCACTACAGTATCTTTATCTATACTGTCACTATTTTTGGCAACACTTCAGCACTTAACAGAAAATGCAGGATGGTGCCAGAAGAGAGGTGCTAGTTCTACCAGTGATGGAGATGTGAGTGGTTTAACAACATGCTGTATTTAATTCTTGGTTTGTAGGTTAAGTTTTGGAATGTGTGAAATGGTTGGTGTTTAAACTGCTTTATCTGCTGTGCTAGTAAATGACAAGGCAGTGGTTTCTATCCACAGACCCATACAATTCCGTATATAACATGAACTGCTACAAAGGTGATAAGTAAATGTTGTGGGGAAGAGATCCTAACGGCATACAGTACTGTAATATAGTAGTTGAATGGTAGAGACAGAGATCTCAATATTGCTCTGCTCCCTTTTTTTACTGGGGCAGCTCTCAGCACAGGACTGGCTGTCTTGGAGTGTTTTGTGGGTGAGTTAATTCAGTTAATGTACAACGTGCAACTTCTTTCAAAACCTCTTTACAGACTGAGTATGCACGTTATATTCACCATGTGGCGATTGCTTTGTGCACTGATTATTATACATTTCATGTTGACCCTTTGTATTCTCCATATTGTCCACTACCAGTACTGTATACTTCCTGGTGCTAGGGTGGGGACTTCATACAATACAGTTTGTATGACATTATATACCAGCTGGTTCCCTGAAAGGGAAAGGGAAACCATGTGTAGAGGTCCTTCCATGTGGAAATGTTTTTTGTATAGTTGTGGGTTTTTCGGGCTCTTTGGCCGTGTTCTGAAGGTTGTTCTTCCTAACGTTTCGCCAGTCTCTGTGGCCAGCATCTTCAGAGGACAGCACTCTGTGCTCTGGGTCTGTCCTCTGAAGACGCCGGCCACAGAGACTGGCGAAATGTTAGGAAGAACAACCTTCAGAACACGGCCAAAGAGCCCGAAAAACCCACAACAACCATTAGATCCCAGCTGTGAAAGCCTTCGCGAATACATTTTTTTATACCTCCCACTTCCCAACCAACAAAAGTAGATGGCCTTTACTTACTATGTAAAATCCAGTGCCAAAATATTTATTGAGCCAACATGCTTTGTTAAAATCATCCTGGAGCTCTGCTACTCTACTTGCACAAGGACTGGATTAGGATATGTAAGGCCATTGGTCTCAGTTGCTAATGATAGGAACAAAACTGTTTTCCTCTCCTCTCCTCTCCCCTGTTGATGATGGGAGGGTTGAACGCCAGATTTATGGGATCAACTTGTTGCTGGAGGAACATTGCCTTCGGGTGGGGAAGGAAACAGGCAACAGATCATACTGAATGGAATGAAGCAAAATCCTCAGAGAGGAGAGAGGCTGCATCGATGTCTGAAATAAACCCTGGGTGTATCTTGGAAAAATGATGTTAGAGAAACCAAAAATATCTGGAAAGTTACAGTTTTGGGTATTATTGAGAGCAGGTGGTGTGTATGTTCTGGAAATTGATAAGATGGAGTTGTAAGACATGCATAACTGCAAATACAGTTTCAACATTACAGGGGGGATAACTCTTCTTAGATAGTTGTAGAATTTTTGCTTAGCCTATTTACTAAAAGGCTTTTCAGATTCTGCCTTATTCTCAAGAACTGTGTAATTGAATATGTTATGTCAGCATGTTACATTATATATACAAGAGCAAAACATCCAAGTAAAAGACCTTTTGTAGGAATCATTGCTACGATCCAAAATAATTTTGGAAAGAGTATTCATGTATTTGTGTTGTTTCCATTGGAATTTTGAAAGTAAATGACAGAGCATTGTTAATACAACATGTTGCAAACAATGTGCTATATAAAGTACATTTATTTGACATTAATGAATCAAGCTGTCTGAAAAATTGAGAGGCTCCCAATGTTTATGTGCTGATGATGGATTATTAATGTCATCCCAATCAATGTATATCCTGGCATCATGCCCTGAGGAAAGGATGAATACACTGAGAAGTAGCACAAATCATCTCTCATTTATGATCTCTAGAGCGTGCAAGCCAGTTTCTTAACAGTGCCAGGCAGATAGTTCAGAAAGTTGGACCCCCTAGATTGGGGTCCCCAACCTTTCTCACTCTGCGGGCCGGCTGGGGAAGGCGGGGCATCCCCTGCTCTTATGTACATGTATGAACAAGCACTCTCTCTTGCATGCGCATGAACAACCATGCACTAATGTGCATGCACAAACAACAGCGTGGCACATGTGTAGATGCACTCATGCATATGCGCAAATGGCAGTGTGGTGCTTGTGTGCTCATGTGCATGCGCAGACTGCGGTGCGGCACTTGCACGGGCACACTGGAACCCACTCGCAGGGGCAAATCAGCTGTGCGGGGGTGTGCCTGCGGGGGGTGGAGCAGGAGGTCTGTTTCCATGGCCCAGTCCAGCTCAGGCCATGGACCAGGGGTGGGGGACCTCTGCCCTAGATGAGTATAGGCTAAGGGATTTTGAACCCATGCTAGATCTCAGTCTTGAGATATGTTGGTGAGAAAAAAAAATTGTTTTATAATTCAGTAATGATTCTGAATTTTAGCTCTATGTTATAGTTGCTAGTTGCCTTTATCACTGTTTTAGTATAAATGTGGTACATTGTTACAGACCAGCGATCTCCAAAGTATGGCCTGCAGGCCAAATCTGGCCCGCCTTGCTGTTTTATCTGGACCGTTCCCTTAACTCCGTGTGTGCATGTGTGCATGCGGGGGCAGGCATGTATGCCTATGAGCATCCATGTGTGTGTGTGTGTGTGCTTACAGGGGAGCGAGTGGGGAGCGTGCACGCGTATGCACATTCCTGTTCCTTCAGCCCTCTAAGATTTTGAAAGTATCTGGTGTGGCCCTCAGGGTCAAAAGTTTGGAGACCCCTGTTATAATATAAATTTAATAAATGATATATTTGAAGTCTTTAAATCCTCTGTAGCTATTCAGTGGCTGAAACCCAGTTTAGTGTAATAAGTTGCAATGAGAGTAGATCCATTGAATTAGTGGAACGTGGGGAATTGACTCATCAAATTCCCACTGATTCAGTGGGTTTACTCTAATTGTGACTTACTATATCAAGTGACAGGATTTTAGCGTACAGATGCTATGTTATTAGGTTATATAATGTCCACTTGTGTCAGTGATGATGCAGCTGTAGCAATCAATTGCTGCTAGATAACAATATTGCTTACTAGTTGCATGAGTTGTATGCTGAGGGATACAAATGGCAACTCATCACAGTTCACTGTTGTGGGGTACATTGCAATTACTAACCAATAAATTCCTGGCACCTCTATTTGAAAGTTTGGAACACAACAAAGTTGTTCCATAAGTGCTAAGTACCATTACTATACCAAATGCAGTATACTTGCCAGTGTTGAATGCTAATAGCATCGTAGATCCTGTTTACATTAGAAACATAATAGAAGTTCTAATGATCTTTTAAAACTCCAGTATTGATGGTATTGCTCCTGCTTTAGGAAATCTGTATACCTAGCTGGACTATGTATTTAGTGATACAGTAGCCATGCAACAGGTTGCTTTTGAACCTTTTGCTACTCCAAGCTGAGTAAGCATAGCTGGATTGGGAGTGTGAGTTTTATCCAGAGCTCTTCATGGGTAGGAGGATCCAGATAGGTTAGCCATCCAGATATTGTTGGCTCCCAAATGATCAGCCAGGGGCCCTGCTTTGCTATCCCCCCCCCGATTGAATTCACTGTACAAGCCAGAGGTTCCCCTCTCCTGCTGTACTCAGTTGGTGCAGTGCACCAGCTTCACACACTGTACCAGCAGTTCATAGGAGTCATGCGATAGCTATGAGGAAACAACAAAGTGTTAACATGCTGCCCAATTCTTTGCATCCTAAGTCCCAGCTTCCAACAAAGTGTGTATAGGACTGTGCTGTGTGACCATGGCCATATGAAAAGTCTATGGAAGAATTAGAAGTCAAAACTAGATTTGTGATTATGATTCATTCTCTCCATTCAGTTACAGAATTGGGAACATCTAAAATAAGATTTTGAAGTAACTGCAACCTTCTGTGACTTGACACGATGTTGGAAGAAGATATGGAAGTGGCCATCAAGGTGGTGGTGGTTGGGAATGGAGCAGTTGGGAAATCTAGTATGATCCAGAGATACTGCAAAGGAATTTTTACAAAAGACTACAAGAAGACGATTGGAGTTGATTTCCTGGAAAGAGAAATGCAGTATGTATTGAACAGATGGGAGCACAACTCTTTCTTGCCATTTTGTTGTTGTTTTTAATTCAATGTGTTCAGTTCTTTTATAAGCACTGAAGTCATGTGTCTCCAAGAAAAGTGTTATGACATTGTTCTTTCTTCCTAGAGCTGAAAGTGAGGTATTTATATGCTAATTGTATTCTGCAGTCTTTCCACCTAAATGCCAGATTCACCAGTATTCACAATAAATGCAAACATGCTTGCAAGCTGTAAGTAAAGAAGGGGCTGTTTTGCTCTCCTAGGAGGACAAAGTAAGGCTGCGAATGAGCAAAAGAAAGGGAACTGTTTCTGAAAACAGCTTGTGTAAATGTATACAAACAGCATAAATGTTCCAGTATAGCAGTTCCCAGATTTTACCATTGTGTCACTTCTTGATTTTTAAGAAACTCTCATACCCCCTTACCTCTCCTTCAACATCCTCCTTACAATCAAAAATTCTGTTCATAATTTAAAATTTAAAATAAATATAAAAACATATTAACATTTATTTTAAATCAAAGAATCAAGCATACCTGTTTTTTCTTGAGAAATCCTAAATTGTAGTGACGTGGTGGCGCTGTGGGCTAAACTGCAGAAGCCTGTGCTGCAGGGTCAGAAGACCAGCAGTCGTAAGATCGAATCCACGCGACGGAGTGAGCTCCCGTCGCTTTGTCCCAGCTCCTCGCCAACCTAGCAGTTCGAAAGCATGTAAATGCGAGTAGATAAATAGGTACCATCTCGGTGGGAAGGTAAAACGGCATTCCCTAGTCACGCTCGCCACGTGACAATGGAAACTGTCTTCGGAAAAGCACTGGCTCTTGTCCCCTAGAGTTGGACATGACTGGACTAATAATGTCAAGGGGTACCTTTACCTAGTAACTGTTGCTATCACAGAAATCTGTTCAAGCTGGGGAAAAGCTTTCTATTAAATATGTCAGTCTCACACACCCTTAGAATTTCTTAATGCCTCTGGAGGAGAGGCATTCCCCCCCCCCACACACACACACTTTGGAAAGTGTTCCACTGAGAGTAAACTAGAATTTTGCATTTTGCTGCTGCTGCTGCTTTGGTCTTGATTGTTACTAATATTATCAGTTATATTTGTCTCATGATTTCCCACTCTTAGATAGTGCTCAATGTGGCTTACACTCGTAAAACATTAGAAAACCAACAATAACATCAGATTCACCATAAAATCATTAACATCCAAATAAACAACAATAAAACTGTTGAAATTAATACATCTACAAACCATTAAAATATCACAATAAACTGAACACCCTCAAAAGTAGTTTTAAAATTTTTGCCTTCACAGCAGTAAGAGTAGAAACTGTTCACACTGCTGGGAGATGTGTGTTCCACAATCCAAACCCTGTTCCATGGGGTCTAACAAATTAGTAACAAAACAGGACCCTACAAGCACTTATGCTGGCTCAGAGACTGATACTCTGAGCTTGGAGGGATAAACATCCACATCCGTTACACAAGGGCTGGAAGATCGGCTAACGTATTATACAGGCACCTATTTCATTAGAACATTTACTTGGACATTTGGAAGGCCTTCACTGATTTATATTCTTAACTGGAGATGTATGTGGTGATGGTTTCAACTCTTCTTCTGAGGATCTTAACTTCCAGACAAGTTTGGAACAAGACAGGCAGACTCTTGGAGAGCTGGAGCCCAAGCTGTTTAGGGCTCTGAAGATTAAAAGCAGTATTTTTAAAATGATGCCTGTCAAACATCTGGAAGCCAATGCAGATCTTTCAATACCATGGTGTGATTATCTTGATGCTATGCACTAATTAGCAGCCTACCTGCTTCATATTACACCAGCTGAAGATCCTGGACCCTCTTCGTGAATTGCCATGGGTACAGCAAGGTGTGGTAATCGGGCACAGAAAACTTGTCAAATCATTTTAACTCTGAAGAGGTTGTAAGTGGTGCATTAAGTGGAGTTGGACAAAGGCATTCCTCATCACCATGGCTATCTTAGAGTGCAAGAGCATTTCAGAGTAAGGAAGCATTCACAGACTATAAACCCGAACTGTCAGGGAGGCACAATTTTTCCTACAAGTTTGAATCCTAATTCCTGAGCCTAACTTTATATTGACCAACAGCACCTCTGTCTTGTCAAGATTTAATTTAGTCCTCATTTCATTTAGTCGTGTCCGACTCTTCATGACCCCATGGACCAAAGCACGCCAGGCCCTCCTATCTTCCACTGCCTCCCAGAGTTGTGTCAAATTCATGTTGGTTGCTTCAATGACACTGTCCAACCATCTCATCCTCAGTCGTCCCCTTCTCCTCTTGCCTTCACACTTTCCTAACATCAAGGTCTTTTCCAAGAAGTCTTCTCTTCTCATGAGATGGCCAAAGTACTGGATCCTCAGCTTCAGGATCTGTCCTTCCAGTGAGCACTCAGGGTTGATTTCCTTTAGAATGGATAGGTTTGTTCTCCTTGCAGTCCAGGGGACTCTCAAGAGCCTCCTCCAGCACCACAATTCAAAGGCATCAATTCTT